GGACCCAAATATTTCGAATATGCCTTTCGAGCAGTCTACCGCTAAGCGTGTACAGCGGTTGCGGCGATACAGGCGTGCGGCGCGTAGAAATATTTGTTTAGATTTAAAAAATTAATTTAATACAAATATTACGTACAATTTATTAAAAAAAAAGATATTTATAATTATTTTTATATAGACATATTATAATTAAAACAATTAAAATTAATTTTTTACAATGCTATAATAATGTAATTTTTCTTTTAATATACGTGGTGACTGTATTATTGAATGTTTTATTACAGTGAAATACATTAAGCAATATATAATCAATTTTCATTGAAAAATATAATAAAATAAAAATATAATATTATTTATACATCGTTTTCATTGTCAATAATTTGAAAATTTTCGTCAACAGCAACAGGATTTCCAGCTAATAAGCTAATTTCATTGTCTTCAATAAAGTCGTCTTTAACATTTTTACAATTCTCTGGTGTACATGTACATACTGCGCAGCATTCTAAATTATAGGAAATACAATTACAATTTTTCGTAGAACATTTTCCGGTACATGAGCAGAAATACTTTTGTAAAATATCTAAACTAGTTTCGCCTTCAAAATAATTAAAATCGAAACATTTATTTTCCATTGTCCAACCATGGGTTAATGGATCAAGAGATGAAATAATATTGTTTTTTGCTTGAATGCATTCATTTATTTGCCACTTTGCTCTTAAGTAATGTTGTAATAATGCTGGTTTCGAAGGTGGTAATTTTTCATTGGATGCATTTTTTATAATGCAATATTATATCTTAATTCATTTATGGATTCATGATATTTTTTAAACTTATTTTGAGGGTCATACAGTTTAGATAAAAATAGAGTCAAAACTGTAAGTCCTTTATCTAAAGGTAAAAATTACGCAACATGTATTTGCACCCCCTTACATGTATTTTCAATGTACCCTTACCATAGTCACGCACGGAGCAAATATCGTTAGCGCTAATTTAGAATTATCTAAGAAATTTGTAGTGAAATGTAAAATATTTAGTAAGTAACCCAGTATTTTACTTACCCACGTAGTATTAAATAAAATTAAAATTTCATTTAATCAATTATCAGATATTTTTCATATATATATATATTACATTATTAAAACAGTTGAAAAGATTCGAGCACCTACAGCACCTCAACCGTTGTACACCTTTAGCGGGATACTCTCGAAAGGCCTATTCGAAATATTTGGATCCACGTTTTTAGCGAGATAGAAACCATTTATCCTTGTCAAAATATTCCAACTTATACTCGACTTAATACTTTAAAGATTATAAAGCTATTTGTAAAATTGGAATTCATTTAGTAGTTTTTTGAAAAAAATACCAAAAATCACTAATTAAGTCATTTTTTCAACAAAAAAATGCAAATAACTTGAAAAGGAAGCATTTTTCGAAAAATTATCAGGAGAGAAAAAGTGTTTATTTTGACGAGATAGGTACACCTAAAAAAATTGATTCCGAAACAATTCGGTGAAATTGCTTTTCTGTATAAGTTATTTGTTAATAACAATTGCCGGCCCACTTGTAAAAATTTTTAAAAAATACATTTCATCTTGGAAAAATATATAGAATCGAATAAAAAAGGTTTGGTGCATTAGAAATGCAAAAAGAATTTTAGTAGGTTGATGCTCTGCTTATAGGGGTAAACCGCTCACCTATTTAGATCAGTAGCAAAATGTACAAAAAATTGCCATCAAAATTGCACCCCTGAAAAACAAACTATAATTTGGTCTAGTTTTAATAACAAAACTCCAGATGTTTTTTTTTTATCAATCTGCATGGAGTAACAGTAAACCAGCTAAATCTGCTCGTTAAAAAACTAAAAATGTCAGGATTTATAAAAACAGATATGAAAGGACAGCATGTACCCTCTAATAAGTTGAAGAATGCAGTGAAATTCAGAAATTTATAGATCAATATCCAAGCAAGACAGAAAAGTCATTATGCAAGGCGAGATAATTCTAGTTAAATATTTCTACCGAGCCACATAACCATCCGTCAAATGCATAAAGAATATCAAGAAGATACATTAAAGAAAGGGTTAAAGAAATTTGCTAGTTATGATGTTTTTCGTGACATATTCAATAATACGGGGCATAAATTTAAACAGCCCTACACTAATACATGTTGCAAATGTGACGAATATCAAACACTAGAAAAGAATGCTAGTACTGAGACAGTTAGAGAAAAAAATAATGAACAACTGGAAGACCACATTTAGAAAGCTAATAAAGCCTTTGAAAGCAAATGAAAAGACAATAACATAGCTAAAAATGATAAAACGAAAAGAGTACTGGTTTTTTATTTACAGTAAGTCCTACCAGCTCCCTATTTATAAACTAAGTCTACTATAAGCGTTTATTATCTGTGTATAATCTTACTATATGTGATTGTTCTTCCACTAAATCGTCTGTTTGGTTTATGTGATATAAAGTCATTAGAGGCAGAGGTTCTGATCAAATTGCCTCATGTCTCTACAGTAAAGTAATGAGTCTATCAGAAACTGTTCAGCACGTAACAACATATTCGGACACATGCGGAGGACAAAACCGCAACATTAATATGGCGGTTATGTTTTTGTATGCCATTCAGAAGAAACCAACTCCCGAAATAATTGATCAGAAATTTCTTTTGCCAGGTCATATACGCCTCAAGTGTGATAGTGACCACACACGAATTGAAAGGTATAAAAAGCAGATTTTAAATGATTTTAAAATAATGGTACCACGGGACTGGTTTAAGTTTGTACGATCACTTAGGGGCAAATCCAAATTTACAGTGATTGATGTTAGACAAGAAAAGCTTCTGGCATTTTCCAAGCTCTTACGTTACATACTAGTCAAACGAACAAGCTACACTAAAGGTGAAAAGATATCTTGGCTTAACATTAAATGGCTAAGATATACCAATGAGTCTGGGCTAATTCCATCGAGCAAAAAGATAAAAGAGGGAATCTAATCGTTATGAAAAGGAGACCAAAAAAGTGGCCTCTGATGGCGGACATATCCGGAAATGCAAAGGCGCTAAATTTAAATTTTCCAACACTTATTAACAATAGCTATAAAATATTTTTCAGACGAGAAAGTTTTAATTAAATATTAACTATAATATTCTAAAAAGTGACACAATTGGTAAAAAATTTCAATATAAATAAAATTTCATGTGACAGTTGGGACAAACAATAACATAACCTAACTAAATTTGACTTCTTAAACAAGGAAAGAGACTGTCTATCCTTGTCTAAAGTGGCCTCTCAAGATGGCACTTCCTGTCTATCAATATGTTTACCCCCACTACCTTTATATTCCCTCTTTTGTCTTATTGCTCGATGGCTAATTCAGTATAAGTATACCCTTGACGATGAAGCGCCATTTAAAACTCTAGATATAAGAAGGGGAAAAAGAAGTGGTCGACCATCACTGGCTACCATAACTGTCCCTCGCTTATACAATAGCCCCTTGGGTATTAATCCAAAGAAAAAGACTGACCTTTTATCGATGTTAGACCTGATAGACAAAGACTGCCATGCCTTTTATGAAAATTTACCAACCACATCCAACGCAAAAGAATATGACAAATTGTGCGATGATACCTTGGATTTGGATTCAGAAGACTAATTGGTTATACAAATCCAAGTGAGTGAGAGTGAGGTTCTCTCTCACCGGCTCTGGAACCCGATTGAGCCATGTGTTACCTTTAGTCAAATTTAATTTAATACTGAACATCACAGTTATTTTACAACACAATGTACAATCTTTCATAACTAAATGTAATTTAAAGGGTTTTTACCCTAGTATTTTGGTGGCTCAGGCATTGTGACCTAGTAAGTATAACCATCTTCTGCTTTTCAACCATAGTCAAAATTTCACAAACTCGTTTGTTTTAACTAAATGGTTTATACTTATTTTTAGGCATTTTTTGATTTTAAAAACCTGATGATGGACTGTGTGGTTCGAAAACATTTGTTTTATTGATGTGGCCCTTTTAAGGGTTTTTTAAATAAATATACCCATTTACAAAGATTAACCTCTTTTTAATACCTTTTATCACCAAATTAATATTAAGTTTGAAACCTTAAAAGGGCTCTCCTGAAAACTATCAAAAATTGACAATTTCCACAGATTTAATATACCCACACAACTAATAGTACTGATCAAAGAGAACCTAAAAATAAAAAGTCAAATCCAGCTACAAATCGAATTAACAGAAACAATAGATGTGAAAAACAGACTATGTCAGGGAGAAACTTTATCATGCATCATATTCAACATCATGCTCACAAAATAATAAGAGATGCAACAGTCAATACCTGAGGAACAATAATTAATAAAAGTGCACAAATACTAGCATTTTCAGATAATGTAGACATAATCGCAAGGGCAAGAAGAAAAATAGGCATTCAATCAAATACAATGAGCTGCACAAAATAGTGGCCTTAAAATCAATCAGGCCAAAACCAAATATATGCTTGCAAGTAAAAACATGGAAATAGGACAGCTACAAAATAAAAAAATAGCAGAAGACAACATTGAGGCAGTAAAAAATTTTAAATACTTAGGATCCCTAGTTACGCCTAATAACAACATTGTAGAGGCAAATTTTCATTACCAATAAATATTATTATGGCTTAATTAAGCAACTAAGATCAAATAACAACGCAAGAAAAACAAAAATGCCAAATATACAAAACCCTAATACAACAATACTCATATATGTTTCAGAAACCTGGACACACCTGGATATCCTAACATTTATTAAAATCTGAGGGATGAGTTGGATGGAACATATGGAAAGAATGGAGGATAAGCAAGAAAATAAGCAAACAAGTACCAGTAGGAAAAAAGTACCAAAATGATTGTCCAGTCAGTTAAAAAATCTAATAAATTTCCTTAACATATAACTAATTTACCACTAACTAATTTGTTATCATTTTACTGTATTAATCAGTTTTATTTACTTACTTTCTTGATTTATTGTGTGTTTTTCTTCATCTTGTTCTACTTCAGTGTTTACAGCGAATTCATTTAAGCCCATAAATGCGTCATATGCAGTTTCTGTCTTGGGTTCTTCCTTAATTTCCATTTTGAAGGCATCCAAAGGACCAAAACACGTGTCATTATCTATTTCCATTTTACGAGTTCTCTTACTAGCTTCTGGTTTTATTTCCATGTTATAAAATTTGATTTTACTTTACCAATTTCAGTTTTATATTTACATCCAAAAAGCAAAATCACTATAAATAAATTTTAAGAGAAACCTTCGAACTGACATGGCCAATTTCCTTATATCAGAGATATAAACAAAGAATGTAGAGTGTAGACGGTAGACGCCATAGATAAATAATATAATAGTAGAAATAGATAGGCAACTCAATGTAAAAATTTCGTTCATTAGGCCCCTTGCGGCTGGGGTCAATACCATCGAGCAATAAGACAAAAGAGGGAATGTAAAGGTAGAAGGGGTAAACATATTGATAGACAGGAAGTGCCATCTTGAGAGGCCACTTTAGACAAGGATAGAGAGTCTCTCTCCTTGTTTGACATCAAATTTAGTTGGGTTATGTTATTGTTTGTCCCAAATGTCACATGAAATCTTATTTATATTGAAGGTTTTTAACAATTGTGTCGCATTTTAGACTCTTATCATTAATAATTAATTAAAACTTTCTCGTCTAAGACACATTTTGAAAAATATTATATAGTTACTGTTGATAAGTGTCGAAAAATTTAAATTTGGCGCCTTTGCATTTCCGGATGTGTCCGCCATCAGAGGCCACTTTTTTGGTCTCCTTTTTATAACGATTAGATTCCCTCTTTTGTCTTATTGCTCGATGGTCAATACTAATCATCTTTTGGCGGCAAATTCGAATGAACACCACTTACATACAATACAGTGTACATACCCTTTAGCGCGTCTTGTGGGCTATTTCGTTACTAATTAAAATTTATTGGAAAATAAGGATATAAGATGCACAATTTTTTCTAGATATACGTATATTTATTTGTTGTTTAAGATAAAACAGTTATAAAATAATTACATAATATTTATTACACATATTTGCACAAGTTAAATACTATTATTTTTTGCTTTCTGACAACTTACTATCATTCTTTTTGTAATTTTTCCATGATTTGTACACAACGAACAATACAATAATTCACCATGTTTAGTTTTGTTACTAGTGTAATGTACCTACCTACTCACATGTAAGATAATTAAAGTATCTATGTATTTCTATATAGTTTTTAGTCACCTGGTATATGTTATTTACAATTATGAAAAGTTCTCATGTATAATCACTAATAATTATTTGCTGTTAGAAATCAGAATCAATACTCTTCATAAATATTTTCCTATTTAGAATAAATAAGTTTCGCTAGTTTATTCGCCTAATACTTCGTATCTATGGAATAATAATAATTTATTTCTCTTATTTCTTTGTTCGATAAGCTATCCGTATTTGCTATTTTAATATTAATATTTGAGTCCAATCTCTTGTACTCAAATCCATCCAGAAACATCGTTAAATAATTGTAGATAACAGAACTTATAAATTCATAGTTTTAAGAAATAACAGGCAGTGTAATTTTCATCCTCTAATATAATAAATTTATACATGTCAATATATTCTGTTTAATTCCAAAACAAAGAGTTAGTCCGGAGAAGAAATAAACGCATAGTATTCCATAACAAAATTTGGTGTCAGAACGTGGGATATTAGTAGCAGAGTTCCTCTGATTGCTGATAGAAGGAGAGCTGAGGAATTTTTGAATTGACTTGTTTCCTTCGAGGAATCATTCAAAAAAACTGTCAGTGTGGAAAAATCGCCACTACAACTAATTACATTGGGGTCCAGTACATCCAGTTCGAAATCCAGTTCCAGTCATAACCCAATTGTAGTTCCATCGGAAGTAGAGGTGAACCCGTGGAATAATAGACTATGCGACCAACAACAATATTCTACTTGTAAGTACATTCTATCTTAAATTCTGTCTCATATTTTAAAAATCTTGTAAACGTATGTCTACTTTATATCCTGATATAAGTAACTTATTTGACGAACAAATACCTTCTCCCGACTCAAATTCTCTTTCAAATTCTTCTACTTCTAATTCAAATAAAATGTCAGTATCAATTGAAATAGCTGAAAAACTTCTCATTAGATTTGATGGTACAAAATCAAAATTATACGAATTCATAGACAATTGTGATAAAGCATACAATTTAGTAAATCCGCAATCCAAACCCATCTTATTAGCCATTATAGAAACTAAATTAACCGATAAAGCTAGGGCCATAACTAGAAACAGAACATTTGACGAATGGAAAGATTTAAAAGACTTCTTATTAGATGCTTATTCTGAACGCCGAACTGAAGGTCAGTGGCAATTGGAATTACATTCCTTACGTCAGATGCCCAGTGAAAATGTAATGTCATTTGCAAATAAAGTTGAAAATTGCTATATAAAATTAATAAATACACTTGATCCAGACTTATCTCCAGATGCAAGAAATGCATGTACTAAACTCTTAAAAACTCAAGCACTAAATGTCTTTATTAGAGGATTAAACAAAGACCTCTCTATTTTAATCAAAGCCCGAAATCCAGATTCCTTAGAAAGAGCTGTTGCTATAGCAATTGCCGAAGAACAAGAACAGTTATCAAGACAAGAAATTTTCAGACCATTCTGTAATATTTGCAAACGAAATAACCATTCCTCAAATAACTGTCGATATAAAAACAATTCAGATAGAAATGTTAGATATCTTCAAAATTCTAGTTTTCAAAACCCAAAATATCCTAATTCAAATCTTCAAAGGTCAAATTCTCAAAATCAAAATTATAAACCTTCAAATTCAAATTCCAATTCTGATTTTCCTCCAAACTTAAGAAAAGAAAATACCAACACTTCCCAACGTTTTTGCAGATACTGCAAAAAACCAGGTCACGTTATAGAAGAATGTAGAAAACGCGAATTTAACAATAAAAACAAAAATCCAACAAATTCTTTAAACTTCCAGAATCCTCGACAACCAACGGTCGATTCTCGAGGAGTTCGTTCAGTTCAGGCCGTATCACAACCATCAACTTCTCAGTCACTTCCTATGTAGATTTACCCTTAGTAAATAATTCTAATCCATCCTCTTGCAAGTTTCTAATCGATACAGGCGCAGATATTTCTTTAATTAAATATTCAAAAATACTAAACATTCCAAAAATTTATTCTAAGTCTATTACTCTACGAGGCATTGATAAAAATGTCTTAAATCCAAATAAAACTATATGTAGTTGTAACGTAAATTTCAAGATAAAAGATTTTGTCCAAACTCATGTTTTCTATGTCGTAGAAGACGATTTTCCTCTTCATTTCGACGGTATATTAGGTAGCGATTTTTTTGAAATAAATAAATGCCAAATTGATTATAAAGAAAATAAATTAAACTTTAAAAATTGTTCTATTCCAATTGAATATATAAAATCTCCATTAAACAATGACAATGACGAATTTCTGAGAGATCAAAATATCGAGACAAGTTCTAATATCGATGAAATATTTCCTTATGATGCTAAATCCATAGAGGATCATTCTTATTTAGAAACCAATGATATCCAAATAACCTTAAGTAGTGAAGAACTACTATCCAATCCAATTCAATCTAAATCTAACTCTAAATCCAAAGAAAATTCAAGTCCAAAATGTGTAAAATCCACTGAGATATGCACAAATAAAACTTGTAACTCTTCACGAAATCATAAATCAAAATCCTGTTCAGAAGAAAAATCCTGTTCAGACGATCTTATACTAAATCAAAACTCTAATTCTAACTCAAGAAGTAATAAAACTATTCTATCCGCAAGAACTGAAACAATTGTTCAAATTAAAGTAATAAATAATGAATTAAGCGAAGGATTATGTCCCGAACGCGAAATCTTTAAAGGTGTATTTTTATGTCCTAGTGTTGTTAAAGTAAAAAATGATTTCTTTTTAACCTCAATCGTAAACACTACTGAAACGGATGTTGAATTAAACGATATTCAAGTAGCAATAGAAAAAATTCCAAATTTACAAAACAATGCAAATATACGAAAAATGTCTTCTTATAAAGATAATACGAATTCTAACAGAATTGCTAAATTAAAAAATGCCTTGAGAACAGATCATTTAAATAGTGAAGAAAAATCATCTTTAATTTCTATTTGCAAGGAGTACAATCATATCTTTTATCTGGAAGGAGATCAACTTACCAGTACAAATGCCATAACTTGCAAAATTCCTTTAAATTCTAATGTACCTATTAGCACTAAATCATACAGGTATCCTGAAGTACACAAACATGAAGTCGAAACTCAAATAAAAGGTATGCTAGATCAAGGTATTATCGAAGAATCAACTTCGCCATGGAATTCGCCCCTTTGGGTTGTGCCAAAAAAGGCCGATGCTTCAGCAAAGAAGAAATGGCGAATTGTTATAGACTATCGACGACTAAATGATATTACTATAGGAGATTCATTTCCACTTCCGAATATAGTCGATATATTAGACCAATTGGGTCATTCAAAATATTTTTCAACAATAGATTTAACATCAGGATTTCACCAGATCAAAATGGATCCTGAGGATTCTCCAAAGACTGCTTTCTCAACTCCGTCTGGACATTATCAATATTCACGAATGCCATTTGGATTAAAAAATGCTCCCAGTATTTTTCAAAGGCTAATGAATACTGTCCTCTCAGGAATACAAAATTACAGATGTTTTGTCTATCTCGACGATATAGTCATTCATGCCGATACATTAGAAAATCATAATAAAAGATTAAAAGAAGTATTCGAAAAATTGTCTACATTCAACTTAAAAATACAACCAGATAAGTGCGAATTTTTTCGTCGCGAAGTAATGTATTTAGGACATTTAATAACTGAATTTGGTGTCAAACCGGACGAAAAAAAGGTATGTGCTGTTACAGATTTTCCTATACCCAGAACACAAAAAGATATTAAGAGCTTTTTGGGTCTCACTGGTTATTATAGACGCTTTATAAAAAATTTCAGTGCTTTAACACAACCTTTAACAAAACTGCTGAGGAAAAATGTTGAATTTAATTGGACAAGCATTCAACAACAGTCATTTGAGAACCTGAAATCAATACTTTGTTCAGAACCAATACTTCAGTATCCAGATTTTACCAAACCCTTTGTCTTAACAACGGATGCTAGTAATTATGCAATAGGGTCCATACTTTCTCAAGGTAAAGTACCAGATGATTTACCTATTGCTTATGCTAGTCGTACCTTGAACAAAGCGGAATCAAACTATAGCACAACAGAAAAAGAATTACTTGCAATTGTATGGAGTGTTAAACACTTTAGACCATATTTGTACGGAAATAAATTTTTCATTTATA